AAACTTTAATGAAACAGCTCAATCTGAAGCTGTAATTTCTCTGCAACTAACTGTCTTCTTACTGAGTTTCCTTCTGAATTAAGATTTGTGCAAAATCTACTCTAATAACATCCAAGAGCAGAAACAAAGACCACCACCACACAACACTGAAAGGTGAAAGAGGAGAGAGGAAGGAAATGATAATGGAGACTTAAAAAGGAAAACACACAAGACTTGGACATGTTACTGCAGGTGGTTTGCTGTGGCCCTTAAATGGACAAGCAAAATGTTCACTGTTCTTCTCTTCAACCCAATGCTAATTAACAAACATACCCTCCACCCCCAAGAATACTTCCATCAATCGTTATCATCATTTTCCTCCCTCCCTCCTTGTCCTTAGACCTGCAGACACGCGCACAGAAAGCTCTCGCTGGAGAAAAGCACCACTTAGACCTCAGCACTGACCGATTGCCTCTGATTTCTTCTTGGAGGGCCCGGTGTTGACAAAGGAGAAGTCCCCCATGCCTGGGAAACCTGGCATGTTCAGTATTGAAGAGGCGGCTGCGGCTGTTGCTCCAGGTGGGGCCACGATCTCACCCCCCTTGCCCCCGAAGCAGTTCATGAGGGGCTTCAGAGGGTTGTGGGGTTCGGCTTCCTTTAGGATGTTTACGTTGCTCCTGTGAAGGGTGAGTAAGATTGGGGTAAGAATTCAATGGGTGGGGTGGGGGGGGTGGGGAGTTTGGGTTGATATCTCACACAAGAAGTGCCTGTTTCCTCTTTTTCTCTTTCCTTCATCAATAGAAACTATTTAGTTTAAATCACCTACATCACCCACATCAAAATCCATATACTTTGAATCTCCAATATGAAATGAAGCATTCCCAATAACAGCATTTAAGCCTGCACATCCACTCTACTTACAGTGACACATCACCAATTTCAATCCCCCATTCCAACACTCTCAGGTTGAGCTCCTTCTGGATTTGCGATGCAATGATTGGCCGGTCTCTCTCTGTCTCTCTGAAGCACAAGAATTAAAACCATGAATTTAAAAGTTATTTACTTACAAAGATTTTCAGTTGCCAGCTAAAAGGCAAACATTTCCTCTGAATTTTATGACAGACACAGAATGTATTCAAAACCGCACATACATACAAGAGACATCACATATAATTATATTATATATAAAAAAAAACCTCCTTCCCAGTGTCATTCTACATATCCTACTACTCTCCCAAGTCTATAGTCCTCACCTCACAGTGTGTTTGGTGAGCACGTTGAGCATCACTGTCTTGCCAAAGGAGCGCAGGCCATGTTCAGGAGAAGTGACGGAGGTGGTGAGCCGTTGGACATCGCTGATCCTGTATTTAACTTCGCAGCCCATTTCTATGATTCCGTTGTCCGATGTGATGAGCTATTTGTTTTGATTTATTTTTTGAGGTATGACAAAGGAACAGGCATTAAGAGGGGTCAAGTTATACATATATTACATCCTGCATGTGTTATAATCATATGTCATGATACAAATTATGACAGTAACTTTTACAAATACCAAGGACTATAACTAAATGTTACTATTATACTGTAATAACATAAGCCTCACTTTCTAATGTGAAAAATAATTCCTTTACATACACGCACACTCCTTTTCCTTATCAAACTCATTCCCAGCATAACTATCACCCACTCCAATGGCTCTATACAACAACTCACCTGCTGAGGAGGCACAGAGAAAGCCTTGGTCCTCATGTCAACGCGATTGTGTCGGTCCAGCCAGGGGATGATGAACACAATGCCAGGGCCTAGAGCGCCACGCAGCCTCCCCAAGCGGAACACAATGAGCCGCTCCCACTGTGCGATCTTCTTGAAGCAGAACCAGAGGGTGACAGGGAAGGTGATGCAGATGAAGAAGTAGCTCAGGCCAGTGACGACGGATGCCAGGCAGGTCATCAGGCTCCAGTCCTTGAACCGATCCTTCTTGCCCTTGTCTGCCGTCAAAGGGGGGGGGGGTCCTTGGTGACTTTGAATTCATCCTACTCATCGCTATTTCCCTCTTCTTTCTCTCACATTAATAAGATGCATGACGGATAATCCCCTCTACTTTACACATAATTCTAATGTTTTTCTCACATCAATTTATCAGACATTATTACAAAACACAGCATCAAGAAAGATATCCAAGAGATTGTCACATATAAATGATCTCCTTAGTAACTATCAAATCGGAAACTATTCTATATATTACAACTAAATACCTTTCGGGCTTCCCGTTTCTGTACAGACGTTACACATTGCATAACTATACTCAAATCTATAAAGCTTCTACATTTAAATCTTTGTCACAAACACAACAAATGGGCAACAAACATTTGAACAATCATAAAAGACATGCACAGGAATTTCTAACCTAAGTAAATACAAAGAAAATTTACAGGATATATAACAGTAACAGAAAAAAGGGGAAAAACGAAGTAAACTGGAATAGCATAAATACATGAAAATAAATCTTTTTAAAGTATACAGTACATACCATACATATATTGACCAAAGCTCACAAAACAGTAATCTTTAGACGAAATAACTGGATGAAAATTGTAAAGCCAACAATTCTCTCTCTCTCTCTCTCTCTCTCTCTTGCTCTCTCTTTCTTTTGCTCTGCCACTCTCTTTTGCTCTGCCTCTCTCTTTTGATCTCTCTCTCTTTTTTTCTCTCTCTCTCTTTCCTCTCTATGTCTTTGTTTCTCTTTTCTTTTCTCTCTCTTTCTCTCTCTCTCTCTCTCTCTCTCTCTCTCTCTCTCTCTCTCTCTCTCTCTCTCTCTCTCTCTCTCTCTCTCTCTCTCTCTCTCTCTCTGTCTCTCTCTCTCTCTCTCTCTCTTTCTCTCTCTCACACACACACACACACACACTCTTTCTCTCACATACACTCTCTTTCTCTCACACACACACACTCTCTCTCTCTCACGCACTCTCTCTCTCACTGTGTCTCTCTCTCTCTCACACTCTCTCTCTATCTTTCTCTCTCTCTCTCTCTCTCTCTCTCTCTCTCTCTCTCTCTCTCTCTCTCTCTCTCTCTCTCTCTCTCTCTCTCTCTCTCTATCTTTCTATCTTTCTGTCACTGTTACACACATGCATTAACATGTTCATTAATTTCTAAACTTACCACTCTCTCTCTCTGGCACTCTCACTCACTCACTTTCTCTCTCTCTCTCTCTCTCTCTCTGTCACTTTCTCTCTCTCTCTCTCTCTGTCTCTCTGTCTCTGTCTCTCTCTCTCCCCCTCACTCACTTTCTCTCTCTCTCTCTGTCACTTTCTCTCTCTCTCTCTCTCTCTCTCTCTCTCTCTCTCTCTCTCTCTCTCTCTCTCTCTCTCTCTCTCTCTCTCTCTCTCTCTCTCTCTCTCTCTCTCTCTCTGTTACTGTCACACACATGCATAAACATGTTCATTAATTTCCAAACTTACCAAAAGATGAACAGAGAAACAAACACATGTTGTTACACGAATTGATTTTGAGAAAACTATTGATGTTACTGAAGTTTAAGATCATATTATCAATATAATGTCAAGTTACCATTCAAAAATATCAATAATAATTACACTATGAGGATACAGTATAATTATCTTTGCTCTTATTATAGTTTCCAATACTAAACTCATATAATTAGATTTATGAATATCAATAGTAGTATGACCATCATTATCTATATTACTATCATTAACCATAAAAAGTAATAGAAGATAAAGTAAATCTTTCTTATTTCTGACAATATGAAGAGTTAAAAGTCAAAAGCATGGAGAATAAATCATTTTTCCTAAATCAATCTTTAAGTCTAAATCTTAAACTTCATTAAGATGCTGCTTCAGACAACCAAAAATGATATAAACAAATCAGTAAAACAGAAAATGATGTAAAGTAATGACAAAAAGCCATCCACTATGTCTCGGATTTCTGGATTTGCAGAGGCAGAGTTCGAACTACACAGGAGCCACAAGTCCCTAGATCTCGCTGCCTTTTTCCAAACACTTAAATCGTCAAGTGGCAACCAGTGATTCCCCTTACGGTCTGATTTTAATACTGAACTGAGAAGAAAATATTAGCATTGACAGAAGTAAGTCTGTGCTGTTATACACTTGGGTTTAGATGTACCAATATCAATTTTTTTAAGGAATCATACTAAAGATTTATTATAACCTTTATCATTCTTCGTCAATGTTCTTTACATTGCCTTAAATCAATTCTTCAATTATTGCATTCATAGTGTCCTTCTACTCTGTGCACTTTCTCTCTCTTTCTCTCTTTCTCTCTTTCTTTCTCTCTCTTCCTAAATTATCAAAATGCAACATAGGAAGCCAAAGCAGAACTCAGTTTAATTGATAGCCATACAAATGATCTAAACCAAAGAGACCAGCTGCACATCAAAGCAAGAAACTTAACCTCAGCATGGAAAACCAATATCATCCTCAAATACGTTGTTAAAGGGTACTCTGATATCAACACCATGCTTAAAAGAAAACAGAAAATGACTTGTAAAAATTAGCACTAACTGCAAGAGATGAGTAGGTTAGGGACCTACCAGAGAGAGTGGAGATATTGACGGAAGAGTTAAGCTATCACAGAGACTAAGTACCAGATCCTTAAAACTTTGACATTCTAAACTGCTCGTTGGGCAGACTAACTACTAAGGGTGCTGAATGGAACTTTTACTGAAGGTGTGCTGTGTGGGATGTTGGCAGACAACCCTGTAATACTGGCATGAGTGATTCTCTTGAAAGGTCTCACCACTAAAGGGAAGGAAAAGGAAAAAAAAAGAAAAAAAATTGAGGCTAAGGATCCAACCAGTGAAAGGGCACAGAACACAAACTAAGGACAACACTCCATCTTAACTGACCAACAAGCTACCCATTGGTCCCTTCATAAAATTTATCTTCCATCTGCCCAACTCTGAGTCTAGCGATGCAAGTTTCAAAAATGCAATAAGAAGAACACTCAAGGTGAATCAATGCCTCTACAAACCCTTCTCCCCCAGACTGAGGGAAACAGAATGTCCCCTCTGACCATAGCCATAGTCGAATGCAGACTGGTACTGACTGGTGGTTTTGCTACCGTAGTCAAACGCCGATTTGTAACTGAACGCCGAGTTGTAGTCGAAGGCCCCTGAGCTCTGGGGCGGGGGAGGCGGGGCAACATTTTCCTTCGGTTCCTCTGTGGGCACCAAGCTGTATTTGGCGAATGATACCATCTCTGAAAATTAAGGTGAGGGGGTTGGTTAATCAGTCATTTTGTTTTGTGTGTTGTCTCATACAACATAGCAACAATACTATACCATGCATATTAACACAATGCCGCTGGGTGGCTTCCAATGCAAAAGTCTTCTTTCCTGGGCTGTATTTAGAGTGGCCTGGGCCCTGCTGCCGGGGGATTGTATCGGCACCACAGTATGAGCAGCATGACCATACGTGCCCCCAGAAAACTGGACCACACGGAATATAGTCCAGGCATGCCATGACATGTACATACATGCCACCCGGAGGCAAAGGGTTAACCCATTCATGACATGTCAAATCTTAGGCAAGGTTTGGCAATGTCATATTGCATGAGCATGTGAAGTATCATCCTGGCCACCAGGAGATGGGCTCATGATTAGGCACCACACAGCAAGAATGGGTTAATAGTAAATATCATTAATAAACAAGTTAATTATATATTTGAATTATGAAGTTCACACCTACACATGACAAAAATGTATCAAAGAGGCTTGTCTCTTTATCTTCAAGTTAAAAGTGGCATAACAATGGTTATTTCATACTGTAAAATGTTATTTTGTATTTACACATAACATTGTCATCATGATATGTCCTGTACTTTTACTTTTTATTGCTTCATTACTTGACTACTAGTATCAGCATTGCTCTACAAGTATGCAAAAGCAGGAAAATATGTAAACATTACTTTCAGAGATGCCTCAAGAAAGAACTAAGGATACCTCTCAAAAAATACCCATTAACAGTGACATCCCAAGCTAGCCTGTAGTCCATTCCCTTAGAATCACCCACATAAAAGCAAAGTAAATCTATATCCAGACATCAAATGCATCTCCTCTGAGTGTTAATAGACAGCATAGCCTAAATTGTGATAATATAAAATATAAAAGCAAGTAGCCTTGTAGGAACATAACATGAGGAAGGTTAATAGTGAGGTTTATAGTGATAGTTTATAGTGATGTTTACAGTGATAGTTAATAGTTAATAGTGAGGTTTATAGTGATAGTTAATAGTTAATAGTGAGGTTTATAGTGAATAAAACAAGCGACTCGGATTACTCCAGTTTGATTAGTGACAGTGAGACGGATATCAGAGTAATAACTGCAACTTACTCTGTGCTAAAACTTATCTATAATCAAACTCACACCCATACACACCATATTTCGTAACAAAACAACAAAAAAACACAAAAAACACAATAAAAACACATTCCTTTGTTTACATGTCCATCAAAACCCAAACATTTGCCTGAGATTCACACTGTTTTCTCTTCATTACGCACTTGACACTTAAGATCATCGAGTAAATATAGATCAGAATGGAGTCAGATGATCATCTCTATCTCTCGGAATTAAAAGGAGAGACTAACCTTCCTTATTTACATAGAAATTTGCGAAAGAAAAGAGGAAATCAGAGAAATTGGTCTTCGATCCGATGCGTCGTCTGCAGAACCACAACAACTGTCCGAATCGCTTTGTTGATTTATTTTTCGTTTATTCTATTTTTTTTTTCATTTCGATCTTCGTTCTGGGAGTGTGAGTTATTTCTATTTTGTTGTTGGGTAGTTTTGAGATTAGTGTTATAGTGCTTCTCTTATGGATTATTTGATATTTATGCGGTTTTCTAGGGAATTGTCTCAATCTCGGCTGGGGATTCGGACATATTGCAGGTAAAGGTGCCATTTCCCTTCTCTCGTTAATTTCCTAATTTAATTATACAATTTTCTGCTTTATAGAGACATTTTACATGATAGAATATGAATCTAAATTTTTTTATCTCTTATTTTTTTTATATAGTTTGTTTGTAAATTCCCAATAAATTCATGTCTTATATATGTATTAAAACAAGTTCTGATTCATATATTTTGTTCATATTATTTACCGATTGTAATTAACAACCCTAATAATGATTTAAAAATATCTAAATGATAAAATGACACGAGCATGGGCGTAAAAGTCACAAGTTGGTTTATCTTTATGATTATAATTCTGATGATACGTTTTCTTTAGTAATGTCATCTCTAAAGAGGGGAAACTCAAGCATTTAATTTATTTTGTCTGAATCTGAATTTACAATAAGTTAGTATAATTATTTGCAAGCTGACAGTTTTATGCACAGACACATACAGACAGTTGCACAAACACACACACGCACGCACACACACAAAATTATAATTGTTGTACCATTAATTGTTATCATTATCCTTATTAATATCATTATTACCACCTTCATGGTATAAAGCTAAACTGCCATTTTGTCGGAAATTTTCTGCACTTGTCGGAAAAATAACGGTGGTTTTCTGTTTCGTTTAGTTCTAGTGGCCTTATGTTATGTTCAAAATAATAAAAAAATGAGAATTAGTGTCAACTTTTTGTCGGGATAACTTCATTAAAATCCTCATCATCATCATTAACATCATCATCATCATCAATACGACCATTATTATCAAAATAAAAATAATTATCATCATCATTATATACCATTATTATCATTATCAGTACAGTTTTTATCATTACCATTAATATCATCATTATTACTGCTATTCTCATTACTATCAATATCATTAATGTTAATAATAACATTACAGAGGATATCACCATTAGTATCAGTATCAGTATCAGGTTTGGTATTAATATTAGTACTGTAGGTACGACAATTATCATTATTATTGTTGATGTTGCTGCTGTTAATGTTCTCGTTATAGTACTATTGGTATCAGTGATAGTAGTACTAGCAATATTTTTTTTTCATTATTAGCAATGAACTCGCTGAGCCTCTGCAATATTAATGATAGATGAATTAACGAATAGATGAATATATTGATAAACACACCCCCATCCAAACCCACACACACACACACACACACACACACACACACACACACACACACACACACACACACACACACACACACACACACACACACACACACACACACACACACACACACACACACACACACGCACGCACAGATATATGTACTTATAGAAATCCACTATCATTTGGGTAATAAGGTATTTCGGTATTTCGTGGAGTAAGTGATTGTAACATAGTCTACCCCTAAAAATATTTCAGAAGTGTGTTAGAAAACGACATTGATTGAAGAAAACGCGCCTCTGAAATGTACACAATATTGTTAATACAAAATTCTCTGAGTACAGTTATTACACATTATCACAGTCATACGATCATACACACTCACACACACACACACACACACACACACACACACACACACACACACACACACACACACACACACACACACACACACACACACACACACACACACACACACACACACACATTGTATGGAAACAGATTAAAGATTAAGACATTATACGTTTACAATTATTCTACTTACCAAAAGCATCAGGCCAGAGATTATAACTGATGATTGCTGATATTATTAAATGAGCTGCAATGATTTCAATAAGTTTTCCTTTTCCTCCTCTATATTTTTCAGCTCTATATACAAGTGAGTCATAATACAACATGGACAATGGAGGCTCAAATATATTGCAGCGGATGCCTTTTCCCTCCTGGGCGGTTTGGATTCGCACAATGGAAGTCAAGAGCCCTAAAACCATACGATTTTTTTCACTTTAGTTTTAGCTACGGTTAACTTTAAAAATACGCTCTACTACTGCCCAAATAAGATGAAGATGTACACAAACTCTGCTAGATCATTAATTATCATTTCTCCACCAGGATTTCTTAATGTAACATCTTTAGGCCAGAACACTGAACCATGAGGTATGCTTCCTTCAAATACTTGATGTCATTCAGTATGTAAGGCTGTTCGCCACTAATTTTCAACCTCAGGGCGATTTGCTTGCTCAGTCAGAGAAAATGGAGGTCTTGTGTGGCTGAAGCATATGAATGGTGACAGATTTTTTTTTTTTTTATCTAATTTAAAGTTGCAATGTTACGTTAGACACGAGCAAGAATTCTTTCAGATGCTCTTATGACAAGTCTGTGACATCTCGCTTGTATGAGATGTTTGTTTTCCTTTGAAATCAAGTTAATTTCCTCTTAAGGATAAGTCCGATATGCGAAGCTGGGGAGGAGCCCGGCCTGTGTCGACTAATGCCGACTTAGAAGAGCTTAGTCCTTACCCGCCTTGGTGCCCAGCCACAGCAGTAACCTTCAGGCGACAATTGCAACTTCTCGCGCCTGAGCGCGAACCGCCGACCCCTCGACTGAAAGGCCAACACGTTACCACTGTACTAGCCCGGAGGCTTCATTTCCTCTTGTATTCTAAAATCAGAGAAAACTCGTACCTAAAGTCTACTTTTTTAAGGGGAAGAAAAACTGACTTAAATTTCAGATCCACATCAACACTTCTGAGCGCTTTAAATGTTAGATTTTCCAATTCATTCAAGAGACTACAAAGGTCTGCTGCTTCCTTTTGAAAAAAAAGGTTAATCATTTCAAACTATTTTAGAATAGGTTTCAATAAAGTGAAACAGAGGCGCTCATTAAAGATTTCCCTTGACCCACTTACGCTTAATCTAAGAAGCACAATGATACACATTTCTATAGCCAGTGTGTTGATTTCCAGTACTTAAGTCATAACATATCGAGCAGTGATCAGGTTTTTATCCTTGAATGGCCGCACACCACGAGAGACTTTTGTTGAAATGAAAGTAACCTATGGGAAGGATGCCCAGTCATATGACGTTGTAACATCGTCAGTTCAGGTGTGGTCGGAGATCTGTGGAAACGGCTGCAATCCCAGGGCGACCCAAGTCTGCCATTGACAGCATCCATTAAGTGGAAAGTGCTATTTTGGAAGATCGCCATATTACTGTTCGTCAGCTAGCCCTAGATGTCAAGATTACTGTTGGGTCTGAGGCAGTATCATCCATGACCACCTACATATGCAAAAGTTGTTTGCATGAAGGCTACTCACACCTTTCCAGAAGCAGGAATATGGCTCTTTTGGCATGTGTTAAGAAAACCAGGAGGAAATTTTTGTCAGACTAATTTCGCAGGGTCCATCACTATGATCCAGAAACTAAGGCCCAGTCAAAACAGTGGAAGCATTTTGCCTCACCTTCTCTTGGAATGTTGACCAAAGGTGTCCTTTTCACAACTCTCACATTGCCCAGATGGAAACACAGTCCAGTGGGTACGACATCCTCATCCTCCTTATTCTCTTGACCTTGTACTAACTAACTTCCACCTCTTTCCCATAATGAAGTAATTTTTGAAGGATAAAGGTTTCCAAGACGATGAGACACTAATTTTTGAAGACACTTCATGGCTCCAATTGCAATCTACGGACTTCTACGAGTGAGGAGACCACAACTGCATAAAAATATAAGTTTGTCACTCAATGGGACCAGTGTAGAGGTATACTTATAACTGTACAACATTACTTTCCCGTACGTCCATGAGAAGTGGGTCAGTGGATATCTTGAATGAGTGCCTCTTGTACAATTCATCTGCATGGTTATCATACACTGAATGAAGTTGTCTTGCTAGATACTTATCATGTGATGTAGAAGCTGTGTGAAAATGTGTCTTCAGAGTATCCCATTGATCCAGAAGTCTTTTCACACTGTTACTTCTAGCCAGCCACCTAGTGCCAAAAAGAGGTATAAACTGCAGGGTCTCAACATCATTAACAGTTAGTAGATGTCAAAGTATGCTTCACGTCTGATCGCTGGTCTATGAGATTAGCTATATGTTTATCTTAACATATAATCTATATTTAATGGCATTTTCTCTGAAACATGATGATATACAAGAAAAATAATATCAGACACATTTGACTAACTGTGAATCTGGAATATCCTTTTTCAGTAATGTGTAGAATGAGTGGTGTTATACACACAGGTTAGAAGCTCCAATCACTCCCAATATCAAACATCTAAATTGACTCCAATTTCATCAAAGTAGTCTTTCACATGCTGAGGTAATGCTTCGGTTGTTCTTCTTGTGACTAGTATAAGCCCTAGGAATTGCGACAACCTTTTTTAAGCCTTGCACTATAGTGCTTGATACATACGCAAAAGTGTTTTACGCATGCGATATCAGTAGATTCATCCGATATAAGTGAAAAGGGAGAATATTTCAGATGACTAATTTCCTCTGCTGGTGAGATGACTTTTTTGATAAGGACACTACATTTTGTTCTGTGCAACCGCAAGTTTCCAGTACTTGAAGTACATTACTGATCATTACATAACTCATTCAAATAGCGAACTGACTGAATTGAAAATAAGCAATGTAAACTCATAACTTCATTTCAGACTGCTTTTTTGTGTCAACAACCTGAAAGTGACTTTTTACTCTCAATTGCTTGTCACTAGGAATTTTCTTCATATTTTGCATGTGCTTCTCGTTTTCACTTTTTTTTCAAATCACTTTTATATGCTCCGAGTTCGGCTTTGCAATCTTTACAGAACGCCTTTTTCTCATCATGTTTTTACAAG